TAATTCTAATACATAACATTATAAAACATTACAATTAATTCTAATTTATTGTAATTTATTATATAACATTATAAAACATTACAATTAATTCTAATTTATCGTAATTTATTGTAATGTTTTTATATTTATTAACAAGTCATAATAAAATTGTTTAGTTGCCGATGAAGTCCCCCAGTAAGGGACGAAACGTACAACTAGTTCAAAATAAATTCTTCATCAGATTTATTAACCGTCTATAATTACCTTTGTGACTTATATATTAATATATATTTTTGGACAAGAATATTGATCATTAAATTACAATATAATTTATTTTATATATATTTTAAAAATTATATAATCTAAAAAAAAATACGATTGATATATTTTTGTATATTTAAAATAGGTATCAACAGAGTGATTTGGATTTAGTCAGGTGTCGTCATGGAAATTTTGATTCGGTTAGAAGAAATCGTAGTATCGAAACAATGATCAACGAAACTAGCAGACGTTATAATGGACGTGGAACCTCATCAATGGATGACAGGTGTCAACGTAATTCAGATTTGGATTTAGTCGGTACTTTACCAAAACGTAAACAAGAATTACGTAGCAGTATTTTGAACAAATCTATCGATACGACTAATTCATCGTGTGGTTCTCAATTCGTTGGTAAAAAATTTGACGTTAGTTCATCGGACGATGATTTATTGATGCGAATTGTGCATAAACCGGATTGTGAATTGGTTAAACATCGGCAACAATTAAACAAGTGCGTTGATATTAAATTAAATAAGCTTGTTGGTGCTACTGGTGAACCGCAGGATCAAGGATACGCTTCTGAACGTTCACCGGAGGACGAACATCCTCCTTCGTTGCCTGGACAACCATTTCCAAGTGTAACACCCGGTAAGCAAGTGTCCTCCACTTTTTCTACTACTACTACTATTTCTTATTTTATCCTTCTTACTCCAAGGAAACATCTTTTATTCTCCTTTCCATTGCCTCAAGCTTTTTTTCCTTCAAGTTCTCTGTATTTCGTAGCATTAAGTAGAACAGCCTGGGAGAATACAATAGCCAAGGAAAGAACATATTTTCTTTCTTTATTTCTCTTATTTTACTTTTTTCTTTTTCTATCTCTCTCTCTCTCTTTCTATTCCGTATTTTAAAACTACACTACCAACAGTCTTGTCTTGGCTCACCAAATTTCGGATTCTCTTATTTCCTACATTTTGATTTATAATGTTGGAATAAAGAAATGTATTCTTTCTTTCCACTCTATTTATCTATCTATCTATCTATCTATCTTTATCTTTATCTTTCTTTTTATATTTTTTATTTCTTATATTCTGTGCATATTTAATTCGGTGGTGGATTTGGAAATGTTTAAAATTGTTTTACGAGTTATCTTTTTAAAATATAATTAATCGTGCAGAAATATATTTTATCGTTTAGATTTTATTATTTTTATAATATAATACATTATCCACAAAATATATATTCAAAAAAATAATAATAATATATTCATAATTCAATTGCGAATTAAATAAAAATTTATTTTATTATATATATCTATATATGAGTGTGTGTGAGAATATTGTTCTTTTATAAGACCCAAAGTGGTCATCTTGAACACTGTAAAAATTCACTCAAATGTTCTTCAACGAACGAACATTTTTCTATTTCCCCCCTTTTTTTTTTATCTATTTCAATTCGTTTTTATTTCAAACGGTTTAGAATTGTTGTGCAATTTTTTCCACCCACCCTTCCCTCCCCCACTCCACACCTCACACCGACGTATCGTCAAAAGCAGTTTTGCGAGAAAAATTCGATCAACCCTTCTGTCTGTACTACTACTACTACAACCACCCCCCTATTCTCTTCTCCTCAACTCACCCTTTTTCTCCCCCGCCTCTACCCCCCCTCTCCCAACTCTTCTCGTTCATCCGTCTGTTATATATGGCAATCCGAAAAAAGGGGTACAGATTATTCAAGTATAAAATAGAACTTTTCCTCCGTTGAGAATTGTTCGTCCGCGCTAAATCCTGTTTTATTGGAAGGACGCCACTGCTTCAGTTCGCTTGTTTACAGTCACAGAGAAAAAGGGGGAGAGAAAAGGGGGGAAGAGAAAAGGGGGAAGAGAAAGAAGAGGCCGAACAAACTCGTCTACCTTTTCTCTTCCTGTCAAACTTTCGAAAATTCAAAGCCCTACCGCCCCCGCCCCCGCTCCCCCCTC